CCGGGCCGTTATTAGGTATTTTTATTTGATGCCTCATCCTTTTCTCATGCACTGCTGTGAAAGTGTACCAGGAAACTTACCTGGGGGAATTGTGTATTGAAACATTCTTCAAACATACCTGTTTAGATTGCAGGCTGTTTGAAACTTCAGACCACCAGTGATTTTTATTGGGAAGGAAATGGCAAAACAATATAAAAGAACTCTAAAAGCTCGTACTTTACTCATTCACCAAGTATTTATTATCTGCCCTGTGTTAGGCATTCTGCTAGGTTTTTTTTTTGAAACAGAGTCTTACTTTTTGCCCTTGGTGGAGGGTTGTGTCACCACAGCAGCCACAAGCTCTTAGGCTGAAAGTGACTCTCTTGCCTCAGCCTTCCTGATAGCTGGGACTACAGGCACCTGCTACCGCACTTCCTATTTTTTAGAGACAGGGGTCTCGATCTTGCTCAGGCTTGTTTTAAACTCCTGCGCTCAGGCAGTCCACCTGCCTTGGCAGTGAGTGCTAGGATTACAGGTGGGAGCCACTGCTCCCGGCTGCTAGGATTAAATCACCCTCGGTCCTGCCATCTTTTCACAGATCTTTTAATTCTGATACATTTCTTTCAGTTCATTGTCTATAGGCTGGCGTACTCAAGTCACAGTGGACACGTGGATTGTTCTGCTTTTCCACTTGGTTACTCTGAGAATGTTTTTCTAGGTTACCATTGTGGTGTTTGTAATGATCATTTGTAATGGAATGACCCTTTGAGTTTCAATATATTTAACCAAAAGTTCCCAGATTGGTAATGGTTATTTTGAATTTTTTGAACTTTCTTAAAAAAATCCCCAACATTATAATATTAGTTGGATACCTTTTAATATTGTACTTATCAAAAATGCTTAGAGATCTAGCCATGCCTGAAATAAATCATTTTTACCCATCAAGTTACACTGAGTTAATTACTCAGTGGATGCTGGAGGCTTTATCTATAAGCCTCATCTTAGTGACTTCTGCCCCTCTGATTTTACTATTCTTCGAGGCTATCTTGATGTTGCGTATCAGAACATATGCCACTAGGTGGCAGGCCCGAACAGCGCAACACACTGAGAAGGGGAAAATACAATGAAAAATGTTGCTAATAATGAAAACCAAACAGCCTTTGAAGATCAGGCCCACACATAAGAACCATCTTTGAAAATGATGAGATCTCTCACTAACATTTTTACGGATCTGTGAGTCTTAATGCTGTGTGTGATGTTTCAAATGATGTTCATTTTGTAGTTGTGTTGCCTCGGATCTTCCTCTTTTTAGGCTTACTGCTCAGACTTTATGAGACGTGTCTTGAGAATGGAATGCATTAAAATAAAATTCTTGTTTTTTTAAGTAAAGGATCTGCCCCGTCTAGTGTTTCATAATGTAAACAGAGTGGTCAAGTTTGAAGTTTTAGACCTCCTAAGCATTTTGTAGGAATTTTCTTTTATCATCTTTCTCACAGTTATGCAGAAATTCAAAAAGTAATGTCTCTGGAAATACTTTACTACTTTAGTGAATTTAAAGTTGCTAAATCTATTGTTAAATATGCCTAGAGAAAGCTGTTTTCTCCTATATTCTGTATAGTTTTATTTTTTTGGTCTTGACAATCAGAGTACCTAATGCATTTGTTGAAAAGTGGGTCCCTTCCATCCCAGATGACAAAGGTGTTTCCAGGAGTTTTGACGGGGGCTTCCACTGTGCACAGCCAGCCTTTCCCGTCTCACCACGTTCTTGGCGTGTGGTATTTGTGTCCTTGCCAATATTGCGGTGTCTTTTTTCTTTTTTCTTCACCAGACGTGGCCTGTGACTGAGAGGTCAACTGAATCACTTTATGCCCTTTCCAGTATTTTGGTGCAGCAGTATTTTTGGCAAAACAGGTTTTCTGACTCTTAATTGACTTCAGCAAAACGAATGTGATTCAAGTTTCCCATCCTGGTGTGGATACTTACCAAGCTACCTTTCATGTTGAAAGATAAGCATCTTCCCTTTGTCTTTGTCTTAGAGCAAGGCATTTTATATCATGCTAAAAGTTTTGTTTTACATTTTGGTTTGGACTAATGACCCCTCTCAAAAAATACTGTGAAAGTAGCTGCTATTTTAGAAGCGTTAACTAACTGGTGGTGCTGGTGGGACTGTGTTTCCTCTCCTCACTTTAAATCTGGACCTGCCAATGTGCATCAGGAATGAAGTCACCTACTTGCTCACGTGGATTTACCCCGTTGGTTTACACAAAAGACCATTATCTGAATAGCCGGGCGATGTGGCAGGCTCCTGTAGTCCCTGCTACTTGGGAGGTGAGGTAAGAGAATTGCTTGAGCCCAAGAGTTTGAGGTTGCTGTGAGCTATGATGCCACTACACTCTATTGAGGCCGACAAAGTGAGACTCTGCCTCAGGAAAAAAAAAAGACCATTAACTCACAATAGTGAATATTTACGTAGAGGATTAGAACTCCTTGAGGTTCTGTAGCTATAACATCCATTTGTTTTTTTGAGAAATGAAGCATTACTATCAGGATTCTCTGTGGGATACAAAATTAATTTTCCTCCCTCCTTACCCCACTTTTGGGTCCACCTTCTAAAAGAAATTGCTTTCTTCCAAAATAGTACAGTAGTGGTAATTCTGATCTGTTGGGCTTAATAGTAGAAGTGCAAAGCTTTACGCACTTAATTGTAGAGATTCCCAGGTCACAATTTCCATTAGTAATAAAGTATTAAAGTCAATTTGACATTTGAGGCTTATTCTCTGAGGCCATTAAAATTGGTTTTCTTAGCAGCTGATTTGCAGTTTGTAAAATGGGTTGACTGGCAAAAAGGATAATGCACATTTTTACTAATTTACCACTATTAATCTTGCTTCTTAACACATTTTATATCTAAATATATTTAGAATTCTTTTTTTTTGGAGACAGAGCCTCAAGCTGTCCCTAGGTAGAGTGCCATGACTCACAGCAACCTCCAACTCCTGGGCTCAAGCCAGTCTCCTGCCTCTGCCTCCCAAGT